TCTATCCATCTATCTATCTATCTATCCATCCATCCATCCATCCATCCATCCATCTATCTATCTATCTATCTGTCTATCCGTCTATCTATCTATCATCTATCTATCTATCTATCCATCATCTGTCTATCTGTCTATCCGTCTATCTATCTGTCCATCCATCCATCCATCCATCCATCCATCATCTATCTATCCGTCCGTCCGTCCGTCTGTCTATCCATCCGTCTATCTATCTATGTCCATCCATCCATCCATCATCTATCTGTCCATCCATCCATCCATCGTCTATCTATCTATCTATCTATCTATCTATCTATCTGTCTGTCCGTCTATCTGTCCGTCTATCCATCCGTCTATCTATCTATCTATCTGTCTATCCGTCTATCCGTCTATCCGTCTATCTATCTATCTATCTATCTATCTATCTATCTATCCATCCATCTATCCATCCATCTATCTATCCATCTATCCATCCATCCATCTATCTATCTATCTATCTATCTATATGTCTATCCGTCTATCCGTCTATCTATCTATCTATCTATCCATCCATCATCTGTCTATCTGTCTATCCGTCTATCCGTCTATCTATCTATCTATCTATCTATCTATCTATCTATCTATCCATCATCTATCTGTCTATCCGTCTAGCCATCCATCTATCTATCTATCTATCTATCTATCCATCCATCCATCATCTATCTATCTGTCTATCTGTCTAGCCATCCATCTATCTATCTATCTATCTATCTATCTATCTATCCAACCATCCATCATCTATCTATCTGTCTATCTGTCTATCCATCCATCCATCCATCTATCTATCTATCTATCTATCTATCTATCTATCTATCAAAGTGGCTATTACTAAATTGCCACCGATTTAAATAAATATATTAATTTTGTATTTTTTACTATTAAAAAATATTTTTAACTATTAAATTCTGGTTCCATCCTTACAAAAAATTTACCGTAAATTATAAATAAATAAAGAGATAAATAAATAAATAAATAAATAAATATGGGATCTACATACTGTATAACTTTTATTTATTTATTTAATTAAGCACTGGCTAATAATAAATGATCACCATTTACAATAAATATAGTATGCATTGGTTTAAAGAATATATTTAACATTTTTGTACGGGTTCACATTTCTGATTAATTTTTTTTTAATGGACAGATCCAAAGGAAAAAGACATGCATTAATATCAATAATTACAGAATCTCTCTCTATCTATCTATACCTATGTCTATACCTATACCCAAATAAATAAATAAACAAAATAAATACCTAAAAAAACACTTAATATTTGTGTAAATTTACAATGTTATTTTTTCTGAAAGAAAAAGGATTTTAGAGATTAAAAACAGTTTTTATTGATTCATTTATGAAAAGTGTATGATTGTATTATACTGAGATCTTACATCTCCTATATTTCTCATTTCTTACGTCTCATTTCTTAGCCCAAAATTCAAAGTCAAATACGATTATTAGAGAGAAGATGGCATTGAAAGTAGCAGTATGTTGTGAGGTTTTTCCCAAAGGTTTCATAATTTAAAAAAATAATGCATTGCAACATCTTTATTTGAAAGAAAGCCGTGATAACTGCATTTCTAAAGATAATGCAGGGAGCGAGAGCCAGTGAAACTCATGTGACGACATACTTGAACATCTAGAGAGAACCATTCAACAAACCCAGCACGATTTCTAGAACTCCCCGTCTGGTCTGTACAGTCTGTGAGGTCAGCAGGGGTCAGCAGGGGTCAGCAGGGGTCGCGGGTCAAACACAATCCCCTTCCATTGTTCCACAGTAAAGGTCTATTCCAGTGGTGATCCAGCAGGAACGCTCCAGAATCCCAGCTCTCGGATCAGCTTTAGAGAGGAAAACCACTGCGGCACACAGGTACAGTACAGTCTGTTTAACCGTCTAAGAAATGAAAAAAGACATCGAAGTCTATATAAATCTATATATTAAAAAACATTTTTTTAAAAGGTTTTCAAAATAGAACTTATTTCCAAATCTATGTCATTTCTATTTCAACAAAAAATTATTCTATTAATGTTAAACCCCTTAACTAGCTTTTCAACTAGATTAATTACAGCTTTAAAAAAGTGATTATTGGTGTATATACTGTACATCCCATATTAAATTACTATGTATTCACTTTTACTTACTTACTTTATTTATTTATTTTTAAAGAGTACAAATTAAATAGTATGTGTGTGTGTACATATATATATATATATATATATAGGTGTATATATATCCCATACTTAAGTATATGTATTATATTATATATGTATTATATATTTATATATGTGCATCATTAACTGGTCGAGGTTGATATAGATATAGGATTTAGAAAGTAATTAGTAATAAGTAATTAAATACTTTTTGGAGAGAGTAATTTGTACAGTAATCTAATTACACTGTTGAAGATGTAGTTACTAAATAGTGATTAATTACGTTTTATATATATATATCCATACTTAAGTACAATGTATTTACTTTTACTTTATCTATTTATTTATTTTCATTTTGTAAGAGTATACCACAACAGCAAAAAAGTAAAGATCATATAATATAGAAATAAAAACAGTAAAAATACAACATATACAGTACGTATATTCAAATCTAAACTGATTAGGATTTTATTAATGTAGAAATGATTTTCCTTTAAAATACTGAAACTGCTGAGTTTTAAGTCGAGTTTATTTACAAAAATGTGCATGTTATACTCAAAGTGAGATGATGATGCTAACATGCTCTTTTTTTTAAATAATTTAACAACAGTACAAGTATTACACGCATTTCATTAAATATGTTTTAGAGTTTTCCCTAGCTTAAAATCAAAATTAATTTAAGTTTTTACGAGATAAGATCGCATAAAACAAACACATACAAATTTTAATAATTAAAACAGGAATATGTTGATAAATATAATAAAGTTTTTTAACTCAGTTTTTTAAATTCAGTTTTAGCATTTTTTAAAGACTTTAAATATTATTCATGACGACACTATAGGTATACAAAGGCATTTGTGTTGTTTTTATTTTGTGGATGTAGCCTAAAAACCCCGAGTAAAATAATTAAAACACTTAAAATGAATTTTCTTCTTCTTTTTCCTCAATTTAAAAAAATGTTCTTACAACGCTACACCAATAACCAAAGCAAAATTAAAACAGAAAATAAAATCTAAATCTGTGAATGAATATCGAACCTTGTTATTGTTTTTTTGCAGCTCCTGCTGCCGTCAAACAATTCGGCGTGAGTGTGTTTACGACAGTTGAGCGCGGAATCCGGCAGCGGCTTGCTCGGTCTCGCCTGACAGAACATAAACACACACATAATAATAATAACACACATAAAGTCATCAGTCCGGTGAATGGAGACGGTGAGGCCGCTTCGCATGTCTGAATGTGAGGGTTTACAGCTCTAAACCAACGGTCTGCTTTATTGTACAGCTTCTAATGTGTTCGTGTTTATACTTTTAACGCTTTTAGTTCGGCGTGACGTCATTCATATCATAAACTGATCGATAATACTGCAGTCCGTTCATATTAGTGATCTTTACGTAACATTACATACTATGACAATGTTCGCTTAGCTGTAATAATAATACTCGTGCTATTAATAACCGTGTGGGTTTCTATATTTGTCTGTTCAGCTGCTTACTGTCTGTCAGATGTAGAATGCTTCGCTTATTATCATAATTACACAAAGAAATTAATACACTAAAGCAATATCACTATGAGATGAAGGTAGATTTGAAAGAAATGAAAGGTTAAACTGTGTTTTTAGGACAAAAGTATGTTAAAAAATATCAGGGCGGGGCAGGTTGTCACAGTTGTTTTAGCAGCTGTGATTTTGCTTAAAAATATTAAAATTAAAATTTCTGTTGACCAGTGGCTTGATATGTTCCTGTATTACCTTATACATGTTTGCTGTGTCATGAATTGTTTTGGGCCTCATTTTATTTTGGAAGTTTAATGGCAGGTTCTCATTATTTACTACAAAACAATAATTATTTAGTACTAACTAATACAATAATAAATAATATTGTATTTGATATATCTAAATAATAACTATTTAGTAAATATTATTTATTATAACATTAGTCATAAATAATTATTTTGTAGTAAATAACATATTATATATTTATTAAATACAATAAAATAATAAATATAAATATTTCACACACACACACACATCAGTATCAATGGATGCACAATTACCAAAACAAATATTATTATTAGTTACAGTTATTATTTACTACAGCATAATAATTATTAACTAATAACAAATTATAATATTTTTTATATATATATATATACACACACACACACACACACACAGTTATTAATTTATTTTTTATTTCTCTTTTATTATTTATTTAATAAAAATAAAATGATATAGGCAGACATATTTTACATGCAGACTAATAATCGTGTTGATGAGCAGATATCGGTTCATGATGTCACTGCATGTTTGTGCGCTCTGGCAGGAAGCTGTCCGTGGCTCACTCCTGTGACTTCCTGTGCACGAGTAACAGACGCCACTGAACGCACCAATCACTCCTCAGATCAAACGCGAGCCCAACAGGATGGCGCAGGCCGTGGCCAACGTCGCACGCAGGATCAATGCCACCATGGAGGAGCAGAGAGACTCGCTGGGTGCGGAAATCTCAATAAATAGTCTTTCCATTGATGTATGGTTTGTTAGGATCGGGCAATATTTGGCTGAGATACAAATATTTGAAAAGAGATACAACTATTTGAATATCTGGAATCTGAGGGCGCAAAAAAATCAGAATATTGAGAAAATCGCCTTTAAAGTTGTTCCAAATGAAGTTCTTAGCTATGCATATTACTAATCAAAAATTAAGTTTTAGGTAGGAAATGTACAAAATATCTTAATGGAACATGATCTTTACTTAATATCCTAATGATTTTTGGCATAAAAGAAAAATCTATAATTTTGACCCATACAATGTATTGTTGGCTATTGCTACAAATATACCCCAGCGACTAAACACTGCTTTTGTGCTCCAGGGTCACATATAGAATTAAATGCCTTTCTTGTAAAAGTCACTGACATGTTTAAATGTTTTTACTGAAGACACCGCCCTGCATCAGATCTGCTGAATGAGATCCAAGACTCGATTCTGACTCATTTTGTGTTGCTGATTCCAAAAATAGTGCCCATTTTGCACTTTCTCCCAAAATACGATGCTTTTCAACCATCTGTAAGGTGAAGACGTCTTGTATTCTCCCTTAAGCAGCAGAAAAGCATCACAAACATGTGATTCCTGTCTGAATCTGAGCCACACAGCAACTGTTTGTTCACCTCACAGCCCATTTTTACATGCATGACATTTTTTATACCTAATGCTGATTGCAAGGTTAGAATTAAAGCCAGTGACAGAAAAAAATGCAAGCATGCAACATCTGTGAGTGTTTTCTACTGCATCCAAACAGTGCCAGAATACAGATTTTGTGGAAAAAAGCTTATACTTATAAAGTTATGTTTATGTTAAGTTCTTTGAAATTACATGGTGTATATGAATACATTTTTCCACATTTTTGGAGTCTGTAATTTAAATTATAAATTTTGAATACTCAGTTTTGGCATTAAAA